GCCTGAAGCCCAACTGAAATGGATCCAGGGCATCTCTTTCATCCAAATGTGCTTGAAGCTGGTCAGCCACCACCCTCTCGACCACTTTGCTCATGAAAGAAACATTGGCTACGGGCCTATAATTGCCAATTTCGTCCGCCACCAAACTATAACGATTACCCTGCTTGATGATGAATCCGCTTCACGACAATGTTTTTGCGATCGCTATTGCAATCGCAAAACGATGTTTTAATGGGCAAAATCAGCTTTGCGACAATTGGTTCCCTGCTTCGGGAACCGATTTTTCGCATTATGACGATCAAAACAGCTGATGTCGGGTTTTCAAAATGGCTGCCGGCCATTCAAAATGGCTCCCTGCTGTGTTCAGGATGGATTTTTCACTGCACAGGCATCGGAAAATGGCCGCCCTATGGAGGATCTTCACTGGACGCTGAGGTATTTCGCCCATTGGAACTAATTGAACCGGTTTTCAATGCATTTCAATGGGCTTTTTTATTTCGCTTGACAAGGATTTCGCTCTACAGCGATTTCGCTGGAACGGATTATCCTCATCAAGCGAGGCACCACTGTGTATGCCCTTTTCAAGGGTTAAATACTTGACAGTACCTTTCTTCAAACTCTGTTCAGTAGCATAAAGCACACCAAATCTGTGCTTTATGCTACTTTTAAAAAATGAAATTGCTTGCAGTGAAGTCACAGGTGAGGAATTCAATTCCTTACTGTGTCTCCTGGCAGAAGAGCCAGCCTGTATAGCCTTGGTTAAGTTGCTCAGACCTAGATCACACCCAGAGGAAGTTAATGGTAACCCATATCTGAGTACTCTATGTCTAGAAAACCTTGGAAAGGGTTGTTATAAATCAGTTTACTTGACAGTATGTATTTATTACTATTATTATACATCACTACCTTGGTACATGCACTTGTAATCTCAAGATTAGACCACTGTAATGCACTCTACGTGAGGCTACCTTTGAGGCTGATGTGGAAACTCCAAGTGGTGCAGAATGCGGCGGCCAGACTCCTTAGTAGAGTGAGAAAATACCACCATATTTCTCCTATCCTGGCCGCATTGCATTGCCTGCCCATTCAGGTCCAGGTGTACCCCTAGGCTGCGGACCGCACTCTTTGCAGCCAGGACCACTCCCCCAAACATGAGGGAGTTTCCCAAGCCACCATCCACAGGGCCACCCACCCTCAGAACCTCCGTCTTGTCCGGATTCAGCCTCAGCCCATTTTCCTGCATCCATTTCAGTACGGCTCCCAGGCAGCGCTGTAGGGACAGGACGGCACCTAACTTTTTCTTCATTTACTTTCCTCATCTTTTCCATCTTGAAGAATCTGTTCATTGATCTAAATTTTTTTCTTTTTCTCTTATATTTATATGTTGTTTTTATTTGGAAGCCGCCTAGAGTGGCCACAAGGCCAGATAGGTGGGATAAAAACAAACAAACAAACAAACAAACAAACAAACAAATAAATAAATAAATAAATAAATTGTGCTAGATTTATCCAATTAATGTCTATACACTCCCATTTAAATTTCACTTTCTTCATTTTATGCAGAGAGAGAACAGTTCCCTATAGACAAAGGAGTCAAAGAAGGGTGCATTTAATCTCTTTATCTGTCCAGTCTGTACATATCATATGGAAAGTTGGAATAGATTCAAATGAAGGAGGAGTGACAACTGGTGGAAGAAACATAAATAAACCATGTTACTAGCAAAAAGCAGCAGCAAACTTAAAATAACTTCTAATGAAAATGGAAGAAGAAACAGCCAAAGCAGGACTGCAGTTGAACATTAAGAAAACAAAAATAATGATTCCTGAAAAATTATACAACTTTAATGTTGACAATGAAGAAAATGAAAGTGTTAAAGATTTCATATACTTTGGTTCAATCATCAATCTAAATGGAGACTGCAGGTAAGAAATCAGAAGACAGACTCAGAAGGGCAGCAATGATGGAACTAGAAAATATAATCAAGTATAAGGTTGTGTCACTGGAGACAAAGACCAAGATCATCCACACTCTTGTACTGTATTTCTGATCACCATGTATGATGTGAAAACTGGACAGTAAAGAAAGTTGACAAGAAAAATTGATTTGTTTGAAATGTAGAGCTAGAGAAAAGATTTGCGAAAAGATTGCCAGAAAAATGAACAAGTAGATCCTAAATTAAATCAAGCCTGAACTACCTCTGAAGGCAAAAAGGTTGAAGCTGAGGCTGTCCTACTTTGGACACATTATGAGAAGGCAGGATTCACTAGAGAAGATAATAATGCCGGGGGAAAGTTGAAGGCAGCAGGAACAGAGGAAGAAACAATATGAGAATAATTGACTCCATCAAGTAAGTCACAGGTTTGAGCTTGTAGAAGCTGAGCAGGGCTTTTGAGGACAGGACATTTTGGAAATCACTCAATGATGTTGGCAGAAATAAAGTTCTACAGGTAGCAGACACATTTGCCGCTTCCAACAAACATTTGCACCTCCTGGTAATGTTTCCACATGCTGTGTTACAAACTATTGTCACCATACCCATGAATTTCCACAGCAATCTGCCAAGCAACACAGTGAAATGTTGTATTAGCACATTTGAGTTAGTTGCATTGTTCTTTTGTGATAACTGAAAATTTTGTTCAAAACAAAAAAGACAAGAC